ATCATTGTTTGCGCTAATAACTCTACCTAAATCTTTTCTAAACAGCTTGAACTTAGATTTCTACTTACAAACAGATTTATTCACCTGTTTACTTCAGTAGAATTACGGAGAAACCATAAAGGCTGTGTACGGTCGACGCCGGAGATTTACCCCTTCTGTACCATCTCGATGCGCATTATGTGTAAATTCAATTCCTCAGTTTTTCCGGACACTATCTGTAAGGGTACCAAAATTATGATGAGTGCTTTATGTCTTCTGTAAATTAAAATACGATCTTAGGCCCTTGCAATGCCATAGTTCGTCGAAATGCATCATTAGGACCTAGAAAAGGGAAATTAGAGATTAAAAAAAGTTTAGTGATCAGGCAGCGTTCACTTTTTTGAAATATTGTATAGAAGCAAGCTTATGTTCCTCACAAGTTCAGCAGAAACTTTATACAATTAAAAGTATTGTATTTCAGTATTTGTGTACGATGAACGCATGAGCGAAGAATATCCTTCTGCTTTGTTAGAAAAATACTACATGACTAATATTCTCCTTGGTAAAGGAGGCTATGGAGTGGTAAGTCAGTAGTGGACAAAGAAATACCACCTTTCTATCTTGATGAGCGCTATATTTAGGTTTTGCTGGGGAAACTCCGTCGGAACTGTTGTGTCGAGGTTGCGGTAAAGATCCTGGATACAGCGCGGCTATCTCGCCGATTTAGTCGAACTATCTTCAAGGCTAAGGATGTAGAGAAAGAGGTGGCGATAATGCTCCAGATAAATCACGTGGGCAATCTTTTTTTACTGCTCCAACTTCTGTTTGCTTCTTATTCACCTGCGAAGGCCCGAAGTACATTTCGGCTTTCATCTTGCAGCTTTCCAGCCTAACTGTGTAAAATTCATGGATTGGATCGAAGCTGACAAAAGAGCTTACATTGTCATGGAAAAGGTTGACGGCGGTGAACTTTTTGACAGAATCATCGACCCAAAGTGGAATGGAATGGTATGTTGTTCTTGATTCTTTGCTGGTCAAATTATCTTGTTCGTTTTAAATAGATAATCCAATAGTTTCGAATACTTACAAATTTCTTTTTCTAGGGATTTGGTGAGGATTTATGCAAATTCTACGCCTGGCAGCTTTTGAGTGCTGTAGAAGTACGTTAAAAATTTTTGATTGTTGTAGAAATTCTAGAAAATTTCAAAATCACCATCAATCATCGAAAAACATCATAACATTTTTGGTCGTTTCTTATATGGAAATTGGATTTGCTTTGAGGCT